TCATACAGTGTGTAGTCTTTTGAGATTGACTTCTTTGATTTAATAATGTGCATTTAAGTTTCCTCTATATCTTTTCATGGCTCGATAGCTCATTTCTCTTTAGGTCTGAGTAATATTCCATTGTCTGAATATAGCAGAGTTTATTTATTCACTTACTAAAAGACATCTTGTTTGCTTCCAGGCTTTGGCAATTATGAATCAAACTGCTCTAAATATCTATGTGCAGGTGTTTATGTGCACACAAGTTTTTAACACCTTTTTACAAATACCAGGGAACAAAACTGGTGGATCTATATTAAGAGTATTTGTAATTTTTAAAAATTATCAAACCATTCTCCATATCAACTATCATTTTGCGTTACCACCAACAAAGATTGTGAATTTCTGTTGCTTCACATTAGTTCTGGATCTTGGTCATTGTAATGATGTACAGTTGACTTAATTGTCTTTAATTTGCGTATCCAAGATGGCATGTAATATGGAACACCTTTTAATATATTTATTTTCCATTTGTATATCTTCTTTGTGAGCTTTTTTTAAAAAAAGTTTTTTGGCCTATTTTTAAATCCTTTACATTGTTTTCTTATTCTTGAGTTTTAGGAGTTCTTTGTGTATTATGGATGAATCTGTAGTAAAATATGCCTTTTGAAAATTTATTCTCTTGGTCTATGATTTATCTTTTCATTTTCTTAACTGGTTCTTTCATTGGGAATTTTAAATTTTAATGGAAGTCCAACTTATCAATAAAGTCTTTATGAAACCAAAGATTCATATGTCATCTTACACAGGTTTTCTAGTTTTTATTTTTATACTTAGATCCATATCTAAACTTTATATAGACTGCTGCTCCGTTGTTAGATAAACTATTTTGTAATATGACAAAATGGTATTCCTTAATCTAGTCCTTAGTGGAAATTCAAGTAAGCCTTAAGATATTTTCAAAATGAATTTTGAGCTAACACTCAACATTCCAGGAAATTTTATTTATTCATTAATTTCACAAGCATATAATTCATACTAATAGTCTTTTGCTATTACCAAAGAAAGTAAAAAAACTGAGAGAAGACTGGAAAATAATTCCCTAGAGACCCACCTGAGGAGGAAAAAAAATAAAACTTCCCAAGGTAAATATCTTTCTAAGAAAAAGGAAAGAGAGAGAGAGAGAGAGAAAAGATGAGAAAAGAAAAGAAACCAAGCAGAATTTAATGTTTTTCTTGGCATGAGATTATGAGGTTTAGCATTTATTCTTATTTTTAAAGACATATTTATTTGCTTTTAATTGGTTATTAATTCTAAAGTAGAAAGCCTTCAGCATTACTAGATGAATCTGTAGTAAAATATGCCTTTTGAAAATTTATATACAGATTCATCACAGATAGAAAAAAGGGCTGGGCTGATGAAAGTCAAACACAGGGCAGTGAGAACAACTTTGTTGGAATCAGAAAACAAGAAACAGTTTGCAGATCCATCTCTTAAATTGTTCTGTCTCTTTGGGCAATTTACTTCATCTCTTAGGAGCTTTATCTGATAAGCAGCTGTACTAATACCTAATTTTGTCATTTTTATAAGACATTAAATAGGATACCAGATATAAAAATAACTGAAAAAAATTAATGTATTATTTTATTATCAAGTTTGATTTTGCTTTTGTTCATTTTGTAGAACTGGATTATTTTCTTGTACCTTCCTTGGGTATGATCATGTTTTTGTAGAACAAAACTACTAAATAACAATTGCAGAATGAAATACTTACACACAAAATTTTGTATTTTTAAGACATTTTATTGTTATGTACATTTCTTCTAGATAAATAGCTTTATGATAAAATTACTGACTTTTTTGGTCTTTTCCTAAAACAAATAAAGTCTTAATGACTAGCTAAGACCTTGAAAATTATACCTTCAACTAAGTGTAAGTTCTCATGTGGCAAGTGTTGATTTAGCCTATCGACCAGGCTGAACAATAGATCCAGTCATTAGGGCTTACCATTTTAAAAGCAGTTTTTAAACTTTTAAATCCCTACTTAGATGATCTGTGAAAAGTGCCTTCTACATTCTGAGGAAATAAAATGCAGAAATGTTCACATTCATGAGACAATAGCTTTGACTGAATGCTGTAAAATGAAATCTGCTCTTTCAGTTTTTCTTTCAAAAGAAAAATTGCATAAATAATACATTTGGGCCTTGCAATACCAAACAAGCACAATAGCTACTTTACAGCTTTCATCAAAATGAAGGCCATCTTTTTCATTTTATTATGGAACCATTAATACAATATCATCAACTCTGATTGGCTATAAGGTTCTAGACAGAAGGCATCCTGCCAGATGTCAATGGGGGTGCTAATAACCCTAGAGCACCGAATGGTGTCAGCCCCATGACTGCAGAGCTGATCACAGCTGAAAAAATAAATAAAAAAATTTAAAACTTTTCAAATTTTGGGGATATGGCCTCTTTCTCAGGAAAATTCATGTAAGACCTAACTTTCATTATGCTCCCCCCTCCAAATTCACCTAAGAATCTCCTAACCAATGAATGAATAATACAAGTTTTTATACTTTGTTCACCTTCCCAATAGCTTACTTTTCCCATTCAGTTTGTGGAACGCCTTTGGATAAATTGCTATTGCAATTAGCCTTTTCACCACTTTGTATCAGAAACATTAAAAAACACAAAGGTAATAGTTGATTAAGTCTATTTTTCTACCCACTTTTGGTTCAGACAAGAAAGATTTGTTTAGGGGAGGAATGAAAATAATGGAAAAATTAGGCTTTCTAATTATTCATGGATTTAAAATTATCCTCACTATTGTGGTCTCTGTCCCATGACAACAGATAATTGAGAACTGACTATAATTGTCATATTAAGGTTTTCTTTTATTTAAGGCAAATAGAGGGACACAGTTAAACATTGGGTTTACCCTCTAGGTAATAAGACCACATGGCAGATAGCCACAAAGTAAAGGTTTAAAGGGATTTACTTCCTTGAGATAAATACAGTGCTGCAGAAGGAATTTAAAGAAAATTCAAAGCAACCCATGGATAACAGCCTATGTTTTATGGATTTAGCACAACGTGATTTAATTTCCTATAAAAAAGAATTAAACAAAGTAGTGTAACCTGTGATTTCCTGGCATTCGTGCTGATATTTCTCTTCTATGAAAGTGATTTTTAAAGACCCTCTAGGTAATTAAACCTAATCTTCATTCTATCTTTGGAACTTCAAAATATCAAAGGGTATGTATGATACATTCCAGGTTAGTGAGAAATGAGTTAAAATTTGTCAGTCTGCAAATATTCTGTACTGTGAGGCTTCATTACATTACAATATAGTATAGATATTGTGGCAAAGGAGGTCTAACTTCAGACTGCTACTTATTAACTGACCCTGAGCATGTGACTCCCTTGTCAGTGCCTCAAGTCTTCTGTCCTATAAACAGGAATGTACTGATACATGTTAAGTACTTAGAGGAAAGCATAGGATATAATAAGTATCCAAAAATGCTAGTTAATTTTGCAACTGAACAGCATTAATAAACTGCTAATTAATAAATTAATTAGCTTCGCAGTTTGGTCTCACTTTTATTGAAAAGCAGAACTGAAGAAGTTAAAAGCAGTTACCATTTTGTACTTACCAGCATTATATTCTGGTAAGATTCAAGAAAATCCTGTTTAGTTACAAATTACTACTACTGAAATTGAGTTATATTTAGGAATTTAAAATATAGTCAGCATCTAATATTTGTGTTTGCTTTTTTAACAGGCAAATTAAAGCATTGGCAAGTGCCTTTTAATTTAATTTTTAATTCTTATCCCTTTGGAGACTACACATAAAATATTCATTTATCTTCAATTTCAGTTTGGTAATATATGCTTGGCAATTAAGAACTTGATGTACTAAGAGATAAATGTATTTAGGTTGAATGTTAGTGCTTCATATAAAGCCTGCTTTGCAGAAATTGTGTTACACATTTTATTCTTTGGAAGGAGATGAAGCAAACTTCTAATTTTTAAAGCTTTAGAAATGCCAATGTGTCCCTACCCTCTTCAATAAAATCGCTGACATTAAGAACTCCTCCTTAATTTTATTGTTCAAACACAAAATGCTAAGCACTTAAAAGGCTCAGAACTTACTCTTTATTCATTGCATTGATATCATTGATGTGGTCTGGATAATTGTAAGGCTCCCTAAGATAGGCCTTCACTGTTGTGGGACACTGGTAATTAGGAACCAATGATGGATTAGCATTTTCAAATATTGATGTCTATGGTGACCAGTTTTCTTACTTTCTGTTTATCTCATTTACCTAGCCCTTCCAGAAAGAAAAAAAAAAAAAAGAGCCTTCGTATGTAAAGAAAATTGACATACATATACAAATGAAAACATGTGCATTTGTAAAGCAGAACAGGGCGAAACTAATGTCAGTAATGATAATGTTCTTCAAATTTATGAAATCAGTGTTACCTATAATTGAACTGTCAATTCTCTTATTTTTCTTTTCATTATAATTTTATTCACTAGAATTGATAAATTATTATAAATAATTAAATTACAATCTATATAAATTATTAAAATACCAACATAGAAAAGTACTAATATAGCAGAATAAAAGCCCAAACACATGGCGTTGTTCAAGGCATTTGTCCTTTCTAGAAACCAGATGGATCTCATGTTAAAAGAGTAGGTGGTTCTTTGGGATAAAGAATCCCAATGAAGATGACATTCTTTGGGCATAATTCTGCACGAGTTATGGATAGTTTCTTTGCCTTTGGCTGGAATTCTGTCAGCTCATGAGATCATATTGGTTATCTTACACACCAGAAGCAGTGATTGAAAGCTTCATATCTTTGAGTGTAAGTGAGAAAAATATTTACTATATAATAGTGCCACTTATTTTATAGGAAAAGCCATAAGACAGGAATTGGATTGAGAATACAACAGGGGAAGTCAGAGACAATGAATGGAATATTTTTTGGTGGTAATAAGTTTGAGAAGATGCTTGTCTTCCCAGCACAGATACCCAAACAGTACCAAACAATACAGAAAAGATTAGAATGGCTCCTGCACAAAATATGACACACAAATTCGTGAAGTGTTCCATACTTTAAAAGAAAAAATTGAGAAGCCTAGAATGGGATTCCAAGGCTAATTCCAAATTCATTGCAACTTATTGTTTAAGTTTTTCAGTCATGTTTCTCATTCTAATGCAATTAATATTACTTCTTGCCACAATGATTGCACCTCAAATTGGACATATAAATAGAATGCATCCTCCCTCCCAAATATAGGCCTTGTTCTATATTTAGCTATATGACACAGATGTTATTGCAAATTAATGACATTAATCTTCATGTATAGTTCATGCAAATAAAGATTATCGATATTGGAATATAAATTATATTTGTTAGAGATTTAGCTAACTTCATCTTTTCAAGCACTCTGTACTGTGTTAAGGTACAATTATTTCATCCTTATATAAAGCTTCCTTACTTGCAACTTATACTGTATCTACTCACTCAGACTTTTAAGTTTTTTCATTAGTATCCATGCATATGCAATATATGTCTTTAAAAATAATATTTGCATAATCAAGTACCTAAGGAAATAAGTTTTGTTACAGAATGTTCCTCAAGGTTATTTGAAAAAACAGAAAATGAGACCTAAATAGCCAATGATGTTTAAAAAAAAAAAAATGTGTGAAATGTTTTCTGTCTACTTGAAACAGTCTTTATTATTTTAAAAAATGGAAAAATTCTCCTCATAATATCAAGGGGAAAAGAACATACCAATATATCAGATTGTATGTATAGTAGAAACATAATAGGAACATAACTAAGTAAAAGAAAAGTCCTTAATCAAGAAAAAAAAAAACAGAAATAAAGACACTGAATTCTTAATGGCGGCTATTTCTAGATGTCAGGACCATGAGGAAATTTCTTTATTTCTCCTCCTATTGTTCATGTTTACTGTCAATGTATATGAATTTCATAATTTCATATATATATATAAATATCTGTGTATTTATAAATAATTCATTTATTTTAAGAGGTGACTAAAATAATATAATATTTAATAGTTACATGTTGCTAATCATGTGTTTATTTAAGACAATCCAATGAGTTCAACTATTATATCATTGTATAGCTGAGGCAGTTTAGAGATAAAAAGACTAAGTATCATGCCCCCACTTACACAGTTGTTAAATTGTAAAGCTGGAATGCAAAACTAGGATATACTTTATTCTGTGCCATACTACTACTATCAAGTTGCATAGCTGAAAATTTATCTATGTACATATACATATTTATATTAATATATTTAAAATATTGATTCATGAAAAAGCATAAATGCTATTACAAATAACCATGTGTCCACCACTGAGTACATATATTTTTAAATGGTGTATACTTATTTAAATTAGTATTTGCCACATTAAGGTAGATCAATGGGAATCCAGACTTTACATACTTTACAAAAACTAATTCCAAATGGGTCAGAAACCTCAATGTAAATCACCTTTGTTTGCTAGAATACAAAGAGGAAAACAGAGAAGAAAATCTAGATGACCTTGGTGTAACATTGACTTTTTAGATAAAACATTAAAGGCACAATTCATGAAAGAAGAGTAGATTAGCAAAACATCAATTAAAACTAATTTTTCTTTGGAAAGACACTGTCAAAAGAAGGAGAATATAAACCATAATCTAGAATAAAATGTTTGTAAAGACATAGCTGAAACAGGATTGTCATACAAAATATGTAAAGATCTCTTAAAATTCAACAATAAAAAATTAACACACAGTTTAAAATGGGTTAAATATCCTGTAATTGTTCTTGGTTTTCACTCAGACTTGTGTATACAAAACCTGCACATGGACATTCATAGTAGCTTAACATATTCTCTAGTGTATAAATGGAAAAATGTAGTATATCTCAACAATGGAATATATTCAGCTCGAAAAAGAAATGTGCCATTAAGACATGAAAAACATAAGAGAAACTTAAGTTTACATTACTAAGTGAAAGAAGCCAGTCTTAAAAGGCTACATACTGGATGATTCCAAATATATTATATTCTAGAAAATGAAGGAGAAAGGACATGGATAGGTAAATACAAAGAAAAAAAACTTAGGGCAGTGGAAATACTTTATGATCCTATAATGGTTGGATATAATTTGTCAAAATACCACCAAGAGTGAACTCTAAGGTGATAAAGACCTGTCAATGCAGGTTCATGGACCATAACAATTGTACTTCTCTGGTGTGCGATATTGAAGGTGGGGTAGGCTAAAACTTGTGTTGGGTAGGAGTCTATGAGAACTCTCTCCACTTTCTGATCGTTTTTGCTGTAAACATAAAACATCTTTGATAAACAAATTATATTTTAAATGGGCAAAGAAATAATACTAAGATCACATGTTCTTCTCATTTAATGTCCACAGCAAAAGAAAACATTCTTTCTGCATATTTCGGAAGAGATCATTAAGACACAAAAGGTTGACATACTGAAGTGACTGCTGAGTGCCTGCTTGTATTCATTGCTAATTCAAAAACTTTTAAAAATTTGCTTGAAAGCCTAGAATAGATCCTCTTTTGCATGTCATCAACAAAAATAAAATATTCATTCTCTAAGGGTAGTGTTATTTTTTTTTTTTAATTATGAGATGCTATTTGGAGAAAACCTAGTCATAAATAGGGTAGTAATGAGGTAATGGTCTTATGGGTAAAAACCAATGTCCTAAAGCAGACTCACCAACTGATCCCTGAGTATTTTGTGTTTAGCTCACCCAAATGTTGGCAAAATATTTCATATGCAATTCCATGTGTCACGTTCACTTGGAAAACTACCCCCATTCTCATTTAGCATCCATGAGCTTAAACTGGTTGTAGCTTACCCTCTTAAACGGCACATGGTCTCTTGTCTCTTTGTACTCATGGTCCACTATTTTCTCCCTGTCACTGAAGCCAAGAGTCAGCCATTTTTATCATAGCACTTTTGCTTTTTATTTTTCATCTGGCAGAAATGAGGGGATTTTTCTTATATCCATGTCTCTATGAGAATATAAGATAAGGTGAGAGGACCTCTGTTTTATGAAAGATAGAAATATATATTACTTGTGGAAATGTTGATTATCCATGTATTTGATATGCCAGCATATCATGTCTCTGTGAAAAGAACCATTTAATTCACAAATATGAAGAAAAATAACTCTAACCAAAACACAGTAAGACGTATGTTAAAAGCTTAATTATCTGAAAAAGCTGATATTTAGACAGGATTTTATTTTGAAATGCAAATAAAAAATAGTGATGCTGTAGTAAAATGCAAATGTATACTAACTTAAAAAAATTGCACAGCTATCAAAGCATTTTATTACTGATAAGTTCATGAAGAAGTATCTATGGAGGATAGCAGAAATTTAGAATCTCAAACAGAAACAAGTATTTGAAAATATAAGTATAGCTAGAAATACAGTACAGGGCGTAGAGAATAGACTTGAGAACATACAAATTATTTTAAAGGTTAAGGTGTGTGTGAGCCTTCTACAGAAGCTTATCAGAGCCCAGAAATAATTATAACCTATTCAATGACATTATTAATACTATAAATGAGAATTTTGATGTGACTCAACTACTTTGAGGCAAGGTGCCATGACAGGAACAACTTGGTAACATTATTTATTTTGTGAGGAAAAATTCTGAAAGTTGAATGTAGTAATTTAATTGGTGAGCATATATAATAGTGTCACTTCTATAGTAGTATGAGACTTAAATCCAAGATAAACACTTATAAGACAAGATTTACAAGGATAGGAACTTACATGTGTTGCCTGATCATTCACCATGTATCTCTAAGCTGAACTTGTTAAGGATTAAACAATTCACAGAGTAGCGAAGAACTTCCTATGGAGATGCATACATAGCTTGAACTAATTTTAATGCTGTTCTTGATGATTTGCAGTCTCAGTTATTAGTCTAGCACACTACACAGACATTAGTAGTTCTGATATGGCATGTTGTCAAAGACACACCCTCCCCTAAAAATAATTGCTTGTTCTTGAAATGAACATCATCACCAAGGAAAACACAACCCCAAACTTGGCTCTTCTTGCTTGATCTTGTAACCTTCAAAATTGTTTAAATGTTTACACAATAATTTTTCTTTAGTATTACAAATCTAGCATTTGAAGAACTCATTCTCAGAGACATTTTATCTTAGGGAAATTAAAATGGAACAGAACATTTGGCTCATTATCTTATACTGATGGCCCCACAAATACACACAAAAAAAAGATGCCTTGAAATATATTTCCCGAGTTCTATATTTAAAGACCAAATTCTTTAAAAATGAAAATAAAAAAGAGATAGATCATGAAGAATGACTAAATTACCATGTGATACAGTTCAAACAACCTAAGTTGAGAAGATTCTGAAAACCAGAATTTGACAAATTGCCCCAACTCATATGCAAATATTTTACATATGTTTGGAAGTACCCATACTCGAGAATATCTATTTTCGATTGTAAACTGAAGAAAACCAGTTGTTGCCTAAAATTAAAAGATTCATTATAACAGAATACATGAAGCCCATGTTGATACTCCAACAGGAGAAAAGGCAAAACTTTTTTGTAGTCAAACCAGAGGTGTAATGAATAACAAAAGGAAATCCTAGTCATTAAACTCATCTAATATTAGTCTATTTGCTTCCACTTTAAACTTAAAATAGAGCATTTAATGTAATTTTGTATAATATTGTTAAAATAGTTTACATTTCTGGTGGATGATTTTCCCCACCCATCCAATTTTACTCATTTGCATTGTGTAGCTTGCCCAACCCTGAAGAAATGAGTCATGAAAATTTTCAAACAATGGCCTCATAAAAAAAACACACAAATATTCTACTAATTTTATGAATTTTCATTTTACTTAACATAATTTAATGTGTCATGACTTTATAGTAATATCTTTGAAATTATAAAGTGTATCTTTGTTAAAATTATAGGAAAATTTGAGAAAGACCAAAGTTAGTTTCTTTGACTTCAAACTTTTTGAAAATGTATTAATATTGTTCAGTTCACCTTTATCTATTAATAATAATCATTAA